GGTGGAGGGAGTGTGATGATGTGGGCGGAAATATCCTACACTGATCGTACCGATCTTGTCCACGTTCAGGGAAACCTGACGGGTGTACGCTACAGAGACACCATCCTGCTACCACACCTCCTGCCAGCCATTGACGTCTAACGTGAGATTTTCCAGTTGGACAACGCCCGGCCCCACACGGCACGTGTCACAATGACCGTTCTCGCTGCTAACAATGTCCCCTGGCCGTCCCGTTCCCCGGATCTTAACCCAATAGAGCACCTGTGGGATGAACTTGATCGCCGTCTCCGTCAGCGTCAACATCAACCCCAAACTCTCCAGGCACTAGCTGCATTTCTGCAGGAGCGGCGGAGGATTCCCCAGGCTGTTATCCAGCGTCTCATCCAGTCCATGCATGACAAGGCGTGTGCACGTGAGAACTGTTATTCGTGCACGTGGTGGGCACAACAGATATTGATACTCCATTCACGTTTGAGGAATATTGTGAATGCCTTACCTCAAGTTATGGACATCATTGTGTAGACATTGATCTCTCCTAAATGGATGTAAAATTTCCTGTACTCAAGTTCATTTCCTACCAAGTTATTCATGTTTGAATATACAACATTTTCTCAGCAAATACGGGTTATGCGTTTTTTGTTTTTTTTAAATAGTATTTTTTAAAGAATCTTGTAATGGATCTACATAAGTCTACAGAACTAAGAACTGTAATTGAACAGCACAACACTGTCTCTCTATTGTAACTCTATGTGATATGGTCCGCTGGCCTACAAACCTTTCTGAGTAAATGCGATTTAAAACTGTTGATGTATTAGATATCTGTAAACTAGCTCTTAATGACAATGTGTCTGACAAAGCGAAGCATCTTCTTACTCTACATTGCTATCACAGGCGTCAACTAACCTTATCAAACCATGCGATTATAGGTCAGAGTAGACTGTCTCACAGTCCCTGAACCATTATTATATATTATTTTACCTCCCCGCCCACACATTTCATCGAGATATTATCTTGAGGGCGTTTTCACATGTTTGCTTAGGCCAACTGTATATGCGCACACATGTAGGCCTGCTCGCATGCACGTGCATCATACTGTAAGATTAGTGTTATGATGCTACACGTTTTAGAGATATCTAATGAATATGAATTTTGTCGCTCTTTCTTACAGTGGCCCGTCTGAGAGACTAGTACATTATGGGATATTACCAGTGAATATATAAGCGTGTACTGTATATATAGCTTATGCTATATTGTTCAGCATGCCTATAATGAATGAGTGAATGAATTTCTTAATTACCTCCAGAGTTGAATCCGAAGATTTTACATGGGCAAATACATTATTTACAATACATCAATGAAATTACTTGACTATATACAATAAGATCATGTTATACACTGCTATGAATAAATAATTTACGATGTACATTTTGAGAGCAGTAAAGTGTCTAGTAGATGTACATAAGGTGTTTCTTTAAATTCCATATGAAGTGGCAGAAAGTCATTATGATGCTTTGCCAAGTATCGTAATCAAGTTCGTTAGTCAAGTCATGGACATCTGCACCGAGAAAGAATGAAAGCATATCATCATCGTCAAGCATATCTATTTTCACGAAAACATCTACATCAAGTTTACCAATCAGGCATGAGAAGAAATTATTGCAATGTCTATTGCAATGGTTACATTCTTTCGACACTTTTGCTCTTGATCCGATTTTAATACAAAGTTGCAGGGGTTGTCTTAGATGTGGCTTGAGATACATTACATTATAAAGAACATGCATTTGTAACCGTTTATGAATTTTATGGTATCGTGAAAGATCCGGTCTCTGTGCTAGTCTCTCTCTCCAGATGTACTGTTAATTCTCTGATAGACGCCTGATTACAAGAGCTCGCCAAGCCGATTTTGTTGGGAACGAACCGCTATCAGTATATCCCTTTAGTTATCCAAATGGTATTTTTTAGCAGTACAGAGAAGGATGTTGCATATGCTTACTGGACGGCTAATATTGACAAAAGCGTTGGTAGCAATGTGAACACAAAATAGGTATTTTGTAATTGAGTTACAATCGTTATTGCAGAGCCTTCCTAATAATTGTAGTCTACATTTATCAATGTAGCCATTCATTGACCCCATTCCCAAGTTAGAAATAGACGAATCGGTTGGATGTCTTTTACCAAATCCTTGCATATGACGAGCAAAGTAACGTTGTGTACATTCAATCATTTCAAGTTCTTTACCGTAAAATGCTGGTAACAATTCACATCCATAAAAGCTTGTAGATAAAATCATTCTTTTCCATATATTGACACATGCGACTGGGTGTAGGTCTGAGTCGTTGAGGCCGTGTGATCGTAGTGAATTAACAATTTTTCTTGCTTTTGAGCATGTCATGATTCTTTCTTTACAGGATAAATTACTGTTTATTATTATTCCGCCATATTTGACGGAGTCGGAAGTGTCAATTATTGCATCGCCAAATTTGTAGGTTACTTTATTATGACGCTGGCGTGTTTTGCAGAATACAAGTAATTTACTCTTGGAGACATTATAGGTGAGTCTCCATTTGTTGGCATATAAACGAACTGAATCAAGGGAAGACTGTAAGCCCCGTAGGGTTGTAGACAAGAGCGTTGTGTCATCGGCCAATAACACACAGGGTATATAGATGCCATAAACAGAGAGGCCATCGTTTGCTTTCCTTAGTTCACATATAAGGTCATTTATGAAAACGAGAAAGAACCATGCTGACATAACTCGACCTTGCCCAACACCTTGTTTAATGGGAAACTCATCAGATCTTTCTCCGTTGTAGGATATAAAAGCACAGCTGTCTGTATAGCTATGGAAAAGTAAGTTCCATAATTTACCTTTCACACCAAGGTCATGTAATTTAACAAAAAGACCGTCGTGCCAAATACGATCGAAGGCTTTTTCATTATCTAAAAATGCAGCAAACACTTGTGATTCTCTTTCTAGGTAAAAATTAACACATTCTAAAACGGTGAATACAGACATGATTGCTCCATGTTCCTTTCTGAAACCAAATTGTGAAGCATCGGGGAATGATTGGAGATTACTGGGTGTATATTTTTCTATTCTACTTAAAATGATATTCTCTAGGAGTTTAGATAGACACGATGTAAGAGTTATGCCCCTGTAGTTACGTGGATCATGTTTGTCGTTTTTGCCTTTATAAATAGGTATTATCATGCCTTTTCTGGAGGCACATGGATAATACTGGGATGCAAGTATTTGATTGAATAGGTGTTTGAGGGTTACTACAAGCATCTCTCCTCCAAATTTTAGGTATTCATTTGTGATACCATCAGGTCCTGGAGATTTGTTTCTTTTAAGGTTGTGTATATGTGATCTGATTTCTGGGACTTGGATTTCTGTATACAGGATATCATCTAGTGGATCATGATTATGGCGATTTTGTTCCATGATATAATGAAGTTTTAATATAATGGTGAGTTTAAAGTTTTCGTCAAAATCATCAGACTGGTGAGGTTTTGCCAAGTCTGAATAATAGTCACCCCACAGTTTACATATATCAGCTGAAGAAACAGCACGTTTATAGAATGTATTTATATCGGCTTCACATGTCTTTTCTAGTTCTGTACTTATTTCTTTGCGCTGTTTACGTTTTGATTTTTGGTGTAAACGTCTAAATTCCCTTTTTTGCATTTTTATAGGATTTGTATAATCTAGAGTTTCCTCCCCGTGGTCTATTATCCGCTATCCATTCTCGTCTGGCCACCCTCATTTCATAGTGGGACTGATTTAACCCATCACTTTTCCAATAGGGCTTCAAATGTGATCTATATACACTTTGGGGGATATTGTTAGAGCTGGCCTTCATAAGACATTTACTTAGCTCTCCCATAAAATGCTCTATGGCATCAGGTTGAACGTGGTCAGATGCTATACATACGGAGGAGAGAAGTGTGTCAACTTCTTTTGTATACATATTTATGTGTATTTCGTCTGCCTTGGGCCACTTTGGAACATGTGTTGTTTCCACATTGGATGGGGTTTGATGTGTACATTGTATGCAGACAAGGCAAGGCAAGTGGTCCGAAGTATCGTACTGACATTGATCAAGTATGCTACACTGGATGATACAGTTACTCATGTTGGATGGTATGAGGGCATAGTCAATAAGTGATGTTATACCCGGGACCTGTGTTGCATAGGTTATGCGTTACGCTAACTAGGTGCCTATGATCTATTACCTTTTGTAGTAGCTTATCGCGAGGAGACATGTTTATTCTGTGGATATCAGAATTTAAATCACCTAATTAGGAGATAAATATTTCGTTTTGTAAGATTTGCGTGATGTTATGCTGAATGGATGTACGGAAATTTCATTTGAACACGACGCCGTAAGGCGGAGTGTTCAAATGAAAAATTTCCGTACATCCATTCAGCATAACATCACGCAAATCTTACAAAACGAAATATTTATCGACATTGTAACATGAACGTTAATTAAATCGATATTTAGGAGGAACTAATTTACTGAGCGCATGACACAACAAAACTGTCGTTCGCAATACGTCTCCTCTTGCTCACCTTCGAAAGGATGCATGATATGGGGTGCCGCGAAACCGATCAACGGTTTCGAGGTACTCCAATAATGATGGTTCATTTTACGAAAGGGGTGGCCACATGTTCAAGCCCATTTCTCAGAAAATAAACAAACAACAGGAAATATCACAAATTCAATTCTTTATCACAGTTCCTCATCTTACTTGCAATTTGTAGTTATGCGTATCTATAAAATACAAATAATCAAAATTTGAAAAGCCGTACATACTGTTTGGCCCCTATACAAGAAAGTGTCAACTCGCTGAGGTAGTGACAAGAGAGGTCAAACATGTGCGAGATTTTAGATATGCAGCTTAGCTGGGATGGAAAAAGTTGTTTACTGTCACAGTGGAATTACATATGTGAAAGAGACCATGGGAATTAGCAGAAGAATTAACCTGGAAGTTATTCACGGGAGCAAATTACGTTCGTTAGCGAGCTGCTGCAGTCCCTGAAGAATGTTCGAATAATGTCGTTTTTGAGCCGAGCTCGAGTCAATGGAATACGACTTCAACGATTCATCGGTTTTGTGGCCGGTAATTTTGCAAATCTCGCGATTTTCAATGCCTGCGTTTGACAGCAAAGTAACAGCAGTTGCCCGAAGACAATGGTTTGTATACACTTTGAGACCAGCGTTGGTAGAAATTTCTTTCATCATGTTGCCAATGACATTTACACCAACTGGCCTCGTGGTGTACCATTCGGTGTCGTCGACGTGGACTCGTCTCTTGGGAGCCTGGTAAAAAGCACCATTGTTGGGATTGAGGAGAGACATGTATTTTTTTAATGAAAGTACAGGACAGAATTGGTCCGATGTTGCATAAATGCGTTTGTTGGGCCCATTTGAGTCTTTGAGGTCCCCCCTGTGATTTTTTGTGACTTCGGAGTGTGTCATTTCAATGAACTCAAACCCCTGTTCATCGGTGGATACACGAAAGGAAGATGCAGTTAATTCCCTTTGGTTTTCTTCACCACGACGAGCGAAACCGAGTGTAAGGTCGAACCACACTTTACGAAGCAAGCCGGAAGGAGTTTCCGTATCCAAACTTTCACGAATTTTTTTTAAATCATTCTCGGGGATAGCAGCATGATGTGTTGCCTGGTCAAGGCCATCGCGCTTTAGTTTTTTTATCATGGACAGAAAAACATTGTTTGCAGTGTGAAATTCCCGGTCTTGGATAATGTTTATGCTGCGCTCAAATGGCGGTCCCCTGATGTGCCTGTGTATGGCAGCACGCAACCCAACAAAACTCGATTTTGAGTAAAGATCTCCCTCCGCATTTCTGACTTCGGCATAAAAGAACCTCAGTCTCTCATTCAGTTGAGAAGCAGGAAGCTCTTCGAACTTGGGTTCAAAACCTCGGAAACCAAGCCATTCTGGAAGTGAAAAAGATTGCCTTGTTCAGGGTACAAATGTGACAGTAAGTGGGAGTAATTTGTTATTACTAATATTAGGGACTAGTCCTATTACGGCGTCGTGTTTAAATGAAATTTCCGTATATCCATTTAGCATAACATATCTCAAATCTTACAAAACGAAATATTTAATTTACGTTAAGATTTTGGTCAATCTCGTTATATTATTGCCATTTTTTGCGATGACACATTGGTCACGCTTTACAATGCTATCATGGCAATGGTGTAAGGGAGGTAACTCTCGCTGATGTTGACCGAATCTGCGTAGGAATTTTAGGTATGTGTTTATGTATTCTTTTATGTTTCAATGGCTTACGTCGAAATATTTTAACTCCCCAGGAGGTATTACGCCCAGTAGATTTGGAGAGGTTCCCATCCACGATGTCCTGTACTGCATTTGCATCAAGGGACGCGAAGCGGTCACTGGACGCTTGAACTTTTGGCTCTACGGAAACGCTGGCTGTATTTCCTAGTTCAGGGGCCATCTCAGAACGGTTTTCAGCTTCAACAGCTGTTGTGAGTAATAATAATAACAAAAGTAGGTGGGTATATGAAAGTCATAACTATTATAGAGTTGCAATAAATGTTTTTACTCTGTTAAAAAATGATTTTCTTTTCTTTTCCCTTTGGCCAAGCCAAAGAAAATTACATCATTTATGATTATGATTGGGTAATTAATGAAAATAGGTAAATTTCATTTACCTTCAAATTCTTGAATTATCTCAGAAAATGTCTCGTCGTCCCAATCACTCAATATTTCATCGAAATCTCCGATGTGGAAGTCAGGGTAAATTTCCATCTGTTCCTCCATGTTGATGATTTCAAAAATAGTTCCATTAATTAATGTATACATACACGGTGATGAGACCCCAAAAATTCAGCGATGTTATGCTCATTCGACAACACTTTTTAACCAATCAGATCAGAGAACAAACCTACTTTTATGTTACAATATGACAGTGTCACCTTTGGCACTTAAAGTATCATACATGTCAATGACTTCATCTAATGCGTTAACATACACTGAATGTAAGACGTTAGTTGAGAGAAGACGGTAACATATGACGAAGACATCATTATAACCCTTAGCAATTTAGCATTAATAGTAGCAGCTACAAAGAAATGAGAGTTAGTATGTAGCGGCTTAGCACTCCACATGGATGTATCATTACATAGAATAGCCGTGCCACCAGAGCCTCTAGCAGAAAGTAATTGTGAATTGCATGAATAGGTAATAACTGAAAAACCAGACAAGTCATTAAATCTATACTCACAATCCGGCGAAAGCCAGTGTTCCTGAATAGCCAGTATGTCCACTGAGTTTGGAATTACACTATTTATACCACGTGTACCATATAACAGACCCGGTCATTCCATGTAAGAAGACTAAGAGTCATAATTGAAGACACAAGAGACATGATTGAGTGGGACACTGGTTTCAGCACTAATGCATGTTTTCTACTGACGTCTTTGGTTGTTATCACTATACTGACCGTGCTTTTCATAGTTCCTGAAGCGCGGAACGTAGTCACGACATTGTATATCTTCAGGCCAGAACTTTTTGTCATTAATGACATAATCATAATCGTCACACCACATTTTGACTTGAACTGTGTATGTCTCTGTATTGTCGTAGTGGACACGTTTCTTCAGCAGGCGTGCATGAGTAACACGTACGTGGCGTCCATGTGCGTAGTCAAAGATTAACTGTTTGACATCATCAAAAGATTTGTCTGCCCTGATATTAGAGAGGACAACTCTTTTGGTCCGGACTCTTGAAACCCCTTCAAGTGTGTTGTAGGATTTAGCCAGTGACTTGATCTTGTAGGTGCTTGAAGGTTTATCAGAGCGACTTCCTGTGTGAGGATGGACAGGGTGAGAGTTGTCACCATCTTCCATGCCGGAAAACACTAGACCATGGACGTTATCATTGTAGATGTTCCACAGAAGATCAGTGTTCGTCAAATCTACCATACGTGGTTTCTCCTTTGGTTTTGAAGTCGTTGTTTCTGATGTTGTATTTTGTGAGATTCTCTCCTTGTATGATATGCTCTGTTTCTCAGTCATTTAGTTGTCATGACTGTTTGCGTTCGTTGAAGGTTGTGTGGGTGTGGGCTGGCACTGGGTAGTGTCAGGGGAGGTCGTTGTTGATGCAGTTTGAGTCTGTTCAGGGGGTACATCAGTTGATTTTGGGGGCGATTTTACTGCGCAGGCATATGAGAGCTTCATCTTGGAAGTGACGTTCCCTATCTTATTATCAATAGTCTTTAGTTTGGTGTCTATTTGATAATTAAGACGAAGTAGTTCATGCTCAAGCTCCTGAACTCTTTCCTTGAGAGTTTTAATTTCTTGTGAGTCGAGTTTGAGTTGTGCTCTTAATTCCGATCGTCTTAGTTCTGAATCTTCCAGCCTTTTAGCAAGGTCGTCAATTGTCTTGCTCTTGTGGCCGATTTCAAGATCTTTTTGTGACAGGTCTTCATTAAGTTTCAACTCGATATCCGAGAGCTTCTTGTCAGTGGATTTTGTATCCTGTGAGACACACTGTTTAAGTTGAACGATATGACTCAGTATGAGCCCAATGGCATCATTATCGCCTGTTAGTTTTCGATCTGTATCAATGTAAGCGTCATTTTCATCGTTGTCGTACGAAGGTATAACTGACAAGGACATATTCCTGACACTCGCCCTACTGGGTACTTTAGACTGGAGTATGTGATATGGTCCGCTGGCCTACAAACCTTTCTGAGTAAATGCGATTTAAAACTCTTGATGTATTAGATATCTGTAAACTAGCTCTTAATGACAATGTGTCTGACAAAGCGAAGCATCTTCTTGCTCTACATTGCTATCACAGGCGTCAACTAACCTTATCAAACCATGCGATTATAGGTCAGAGTAGACTGTCTCACAGTCCCTGAACCATTATTATATATTATTTTACCTCCCCGCCCACACATACTATAATGTTATGGTGCTTCCTTTCAATTTAAATGGAGTGTCAAATCAAAATTATATATTTTCAGAGCGTAAGGTCAGAGTTAATCGACTCTTTTGGTATTGACATCCCGCTCAAAAACTTACCATTGCGTCTTTTCATCGAGATATTATCTTGAGGGCGTTTTCACATGTTTGCTTAGGCCAACTGTATATGCGCACACATGTAGGCCTGCTCGCATGCACGTGCATCATACTGTAAGATTAGTGTTATGATGCTAATCGTTTTAGAGATTTCTAATGAATATGAATTTTGTCGCTCTTTCTTACAGTGGCCCGTCTGAGAGACTAGTACATTATGGGATATTACCAGTGAACATATAAGCGTGTACTGTATATATAGCTTATGCTATATTGTTCCGCATGCCTATATGGTATCCGTCCACCAGAATACAGCCTTAGCTGACTAGGGACAGCTTAATTTGGGAGGAGAGCCCGAAGTGATGCAGGTTTCAGATTTGTACCCCTTTGGTGAAACGCACAGGTATGGTACTGACAAACCTAGAAACATAATCGGGGCGAACCGGGATTCGAAACCACAATCATAGTGTTCTGGCGTGCCCAAGGGACGCAACTCTGCACAGCGAATCGCGGAGCCACCCGAACCCTTGGAGATTCATTGGAGATTATATGTGCGGTACGTATCCCGTTTCCTCTTAACAGAGGTAGACGGTCATCAACACACTCCTCGTCCTTACTCAGGACTAGTTGTGATTACTATCGTTCCCCATCCCGTTATGAGGCCTGACCGTGTGTCTGCGGCTGTCAATCCTCGTGACGGGATATCACTCAAGGCAAAATTACACCGCCACCGCACAGAGGTATCGGAACGAAGTTTTGTGAGTGAGTGAGTGAGTTGGGTTAAACGCCGCTTTTAACAGTTATCCAGTTATATCGCGGCGTGTCAGCTTAATGTGGGAGGAAAGCCCGAAGTGATGCAGGTCTCAGACGTTTACGGTGAAACCCACGAGCACGGGTATGGTGCTGACAAACCTAGAAACATAATCGGGGCGAAACGGGATTCGAACCCACAATCATAGGTTTCTGGCGTGCCCAAGGGACGCAACTCTGCACAGCGAATCGCGGCGCCTAAGACGACTGGGCCACCCGTGCCCCCCGAAGTTTTGTGACCCGCCGTGCTGCCAGATGTCCAATAACGACTACGTACGAAAAGTAAAGTAAAGTCAAATCCATGAGTGTAATGTAAGGGAACAAACTAAGAAAGAATAGGGTTATTAAAACACAAACAAAAGACAAAAAATATAAAAACAACAGATAATCATGACATGGCAGATTGAACTTTATCATTCTTTCTGCTGTTCTACAGAACGGTAACAAAGGTGCTCTGATTTCAATGCCATATATGGGTCATGCAATGTGATGACAGACAAAGAGCGAGACAACTCAAAGTTTCTCAGCTTCTGTCCTATTTGCAATGTACTAGTTTTGAGAAATTAATTGTAACGGAGAAACAAGACATGCATTTTCCCCTTGAGCTGCAGTCCTACAATTGTAAACCTGTATTTAAAAGGTGTACCACATTCACTTCACCTTCCTTCTCTGGAGGACATTTGCAATTTTGCGATCTTTGAATGTCCACCTTTAAACCCTTTGTAATTTTACTACATGAAGCTATACATAGTTATACATGCACACCAAGGAAGTCAGTATACAACGTAGTTATATATAGTAATACATGCACACCCAGAATGTCAGTATACAACGTAGCTATAAATAGTGACATATGCATACCCAAGATGTCAGAAAACAATGTAGCTTCACATAGTGATACATGCACACCCAGGATGTCAGTATACAACGTAGCTATACATACTGATACATGCACACCCAGTTTGTTAGTATACAACGAAGTTATATATAGTGATACATGTACACCCAGAATGTCAGTATAAAACGTAGCTATAAATGGTGACATATGCACACACAGGATGTTAGTACATACTGTAGCGATATATAGAGACACATGCACACACAGGATATCAGTATCCAATGTAGCTTTATATAGTGATACATGCACACCGAAGATGCTGGTATACAACGTAGCTATATATAGTGACACATGTACACCCAGGATATCAGTATAAAACGTAGCTATATATAGTGACACCTGTACACCCAGGATGTCAGTATAAAACGTAGCTATATATAGTGACACATGTACACCCAGGTTGTTACTATACAACGAAGTTATATATAGTCATACATGCACATCGAAGATGTCAGTATATCACGTAGCTATACATAGTGATACATGCACACCCAGGTTGTTAGTATATAACGTAGTTATATATAGTAATACATGCGATATGTAAGTATGCAACGCAGCTATATATAGTGACATATGTTCACACAGGATGTCAGTATCCAATGTAGCTTTATATAGTGATACATGCACACCGAAGATGCTGGTATACAACGTAGCTATATATAGTGACACATGTACACCCAGGATGTCAGTATAAAACGTAGCTATATATAGTGACACATGTACACCCAGGTTGTTAGTATACAACGTAGTTATATATAGTGATACATGCATATCGAAGATGTCAGTATACAACGTAGTTATACATAGTGATACATGCACACCCAGGATGTTAGTATATAATGTAGCTATATATAGAGACGCATGTACACGCAGGATGTCAGTATACAACGCAGCTATACATAGTGATACATGTACACCCAGTTTGTTAGTATACAACGAAGCTATACATAGTGACACATGTACACACAGGATGTCAATATTCAACGTAGCTATACATAGTGATACATGCACACCCAGTTTGTTAGTATTCAACGTAGCTATACATAGTGACACATGTACACACAGGATGTCAGTATACAACGTAGCAATATATAGTGTGAGTGAGTGAGTGAGTGAGTATGGTTTAACGCCGCTTTTAGCAATATTCCAGCAATAGCACGG